TCCTGCTGTAAATAAATCAATGTTTAATTTCTTATAAAATTCCTCAGTGTGGCCTGAGAGCACAGTGTCACTGCACTCTTTAGTAACACAGTACCGTAAGAGTCTAAAATAGATAGTTGAGGAATCAAATTTCCTATAAAGAGAAGCTTAATTTTTTTCTCTGTTGTTCATCAGTCTTACATTTGCAAAGAGAAATCTCGAGGTTGAACCTGTTTTCAGCACAGCCTGAATTATGGGTTTGGAACCAGATGAGGACCCAGTTGACTCTGACAGTAATTCAAGGATGTCTCTAAGCAAGTTACTTGGCGTTATTGTGCATTAGGCATCTATAAGTCTGGGAGGGAAAGAGCTGCCTGAGCCCCTCTTGATTCTGATGTGGAAAACCTTGAATGAAGATGATTTTGAATCATTTAACAATATAAAAATAATAGAATATGACACAACTAAAATTTTGTTAGAATGCTTTTCCATTTCTTAAGAGCTTAATCTCTAAGTGACCCAGAATGGCTGCATGGTTTTTTTTAGAAATTAAAGGATAGATCATTGGTATTAGTTACATGAAGGCAATATCGTAATTAGACTTAGCTGCTTGTTTTTATACTAATTTTAAAATGTCTTTTGGTTTAACTAAATTTAGACTGTCCTTTAAATTACAATACCAGACTTGCACAAAAGGTCTTCCATGCTAAAATCTTACAGGAAGTTGCAAACCCATAATTAGGTAGCAAAGATTATATGCTAAGGGAAATGATTATATATGGGGTAGATTCTAAAAATAGTATCTTTTCTAAGTAACGTTCATCTGCCTTTTCAAAACATCTTGGATTATTGATCAGAGAGTGTCTTGAGCTAACTAGGTTTTTGCTATCAGTATATTGTAGAATAGATTTCCATTTATTTTATGTCCCATGATTCATAAAAATATTCTCACTAGTATGTGAATTCTGAATTAAGATTCTTCCTCTAGCTAAGAAACTGTTTTCAATCATTTCTCTTACATCAGATTATAGGATCTCCGTAAGTACCCTCTCTATGTAAAACAGAATTCTTTTTCCTTAGAAACTCAGTTCTCAGTATGTTTTCAGTGATTACCAGTCTTGGCCTTCCTGTTTTATTAAATAGCACAAAACCACTCTGAGACACCTACCTAGACTTATCAGAGACCTCTTTTCCTAAGACCAGGCTGAGTTTATTTCTATACTCCGCTTACATAGAATATTAGTCACTTACAGTGTTATTTTTTTTCAGGGTCATCATGGCTTTAAGCAATCCAGAGACACTGAAGACAGGCTCAAAGTTATCCCAAAATTTTGTTTTCCTGATTCAAAGGACTGGGTGCCAACCTCAGAACTCAAGAGGTAAATAGACTACTTTATCTGATTTCTATTTGTTGGACGAGCAAAAGTAGAACCAGAAACAGATAGAGTCAGCAGTGAAGCTATGTGGACTCTGTGGCAGATCAAGGATGCAGTGGGAGGAAAGGAAGAAACAATTAGGACATTTCCTATGTGGGGCTCAAAAAAGAAAAACACAGTGTCAAAGGGAAAACAAGTTTGAGAGTCTCTTCAATTTGCCAATTCTGCAGAAAAAAAAGTTCCACTTTACATATAATCAGAAATGCCACCAAGTGGACAGAAAAGGAAAAAAGACTTGAACGTAGGGACTGAGAAACAGAGATAAAACATGGCAATATCTGCATCTTGTTATCTCCTTCAAGTTGTTAGAAGAAGCCATAGCCCAGATTGTATGTTCCCTGTCGAACTTGTATGAAGAGGGGGCTCTAGTATGGAAGGTGTAAGTATATTGAGAAGGGAATTATAAGAAATTGCTTCCCAGTATCTAGAGGAAATTACTATTTTCAATTAATAAACCATCATCGTTTCATATCCTGCTTATAAATAGATAAGTGCTTTGTTCAAAACTGTAATTATTGATCACGTATTTAGGCTGAAAAGCGTGATTATGTGAACCATATCACATGCCAATGACCTGCTGGAAGACAGCCTCAGCTGTTGCCTAAGTAGCTCTGCCCTTCCACCCCACGTTGCCTCCAGACTATGCTCCTGTCTCTCCTAACCAGTTTAGCCTGATCGCCGCTCTCATCTCTGAGCCATCAACCCTGAAGCTTTTGTGCTGTCAGTTGTACTAATTGCATAGGCAGCTTCTTTCTTATTGGTCTGGCTGCTCCATGGTTGGCTTTCCCCAAGAGTTATGTGTGTTTATTCTAGAATGTCTGAAAAATACAGAGGATTAAATAAAAAGCAGAAATTAAAACTCACTGGCATTCTGGTTACTCAGAGATAGATAATCACTGTAAATGTTTTGAGATGTTCCCTTCCAATCTTTATTCGTGGCCAAATATAGACATATGTATATGTTGTTCAGATTTGAATTTCTTTTGATTGTTAATGAATTTATTTCTTGGGCATCTCTAGGTCTTCATTTTGTAAGTTATCTATGCATATTTTTTGCCAGTGTTTCTAATGAGATGGTAATTTTCCTAATAATTTTTATGTATTAAGGATATAATCTTTTCCCTATCACAGTTCCATATGACCTCTCAGAACTAAATAGAAGAATTTGGAAGGGAAGAATAGCTTATCAAAATTCTTTATGGTTTACCTATATATTTGACTAAACTGGACATTCAGCAAAAGGAAAATAGGCTTGATTAATAGCTGGACTAGATAAATAAGAAAGTAAAAGGAGCCAGCGGCATCAACAGCTCATCACATTCTGTTCTCTCACTCCAGTACAAAGCAAGATATTCTCAAGGGCTGGACATTCTCCCTCAGGAGGAATGTGACTTGCAATAAATATAATATTGCTGCCTCCTCTTACATCACAAAATGACTGCTGTTGGATTCTAATTTTTAATTGCTTGTTCCGAGAAATGTCATAAGCAGTTGTTTGGATCTCAAACTATTGACTGTTTTTTTCAGTGAAACGTTCTCCTTTGTCTTAACTGGTGAAGATGGGAGCCGGTGGTTTGGTTACTGTAAGAAGCTCTTGGTAAGTCCCAGACTTGTGCTACAGGCAGCTTTGGTAGAGGAACAAAAGAGTCAGACTAAGAACTTCAGAAACACGATCTCTAGATGAGTTTGGGGGCTACTCAGTGATCTGTGTATTATAAAGAAGCTAGTTAAGCTTTATATTTTTATTTTATTTATTATTTATTTTCTTTATTTTTTGGCTGCAGTGGGTCTTAGTTGCAGCACACAGGATCTTAATTGCGACACACTGGATCTTAGTTGTGACATGCGGGCATTTCTCTAGTTGTGGCACACGGTTTTCTCTCTAGTTGTAGCGTGCGGGTTTTCTCTCTCTAGTTGTGGCTCACGGTCTCCGGAGCGTGTGGGCTCTGTAGTTTGCGGCACGCAGTCTCTCTAGTTGAGACGCATGAGCTCAGTAGTTGTGGCTCACAGGCTTAGTTGCCCGGCGGCATGTGGGATCTTAGTTCCCTGAGCAGGGATTGAACCCGAGCCCCCTGCACTGGAAGGAGGATTCTTTACCACTGGACCACCAGGGAAGTCCCGAAGCTATGTTAGCTTTAAACAGTAAGAGCAAGGTGGAGGTTAGCCACAGAGTGTTCCATAATAGAAACGGTATGGATTTATTTTATTTATTTGTTTGTTTGTAATAGATGAAGAAAGCACTGACGTTGGAGCTGAAGTCAGTCTGGTTATATTTGAGGAATGGAGTACAGTGAGCCAATCGAGGGAGCTCTGAGTTACTTCTTGCTTATATGCCATCACTAAACTGGAATAAATCATACTATCTTTTTTTTTTTTTAGCGTTTTCGCATCTTTCAGTGTTCATTGAGAATGAGAGCTTTGGTTCCTACTTTATACTAAGGAGTATTAAGAGGTATTAATAGTCCAAATTAGTAAAGACTTGTGCTGCTTAATTTTTGCTGTTTTTTTTTTTTTAGCCAGAAGGCAAAGGAAAGCGACTCCCTGAGGTATACTGCATGGTCAGTCGCCTAGGCTGCTTCAACCTTTTTTCAAAGGTGAGTGGAGAATGGACCCTATGAAAAGTGGTGTCCTTTCTGAGCTCTGAGTGAGTTTTTGTTTCTGATGAATTCACTAGGCAATGTTAAGTGGCATAGACTTTAACATACTACTTTAGAAAGGGTTCCCCATTAGTAGATTAGAACTACGGGTTTGAAGGCTTAAATTTAGACCTCTAATCCAGATGATGTTGCCCCGTCATCCTCATTTTGGTTTGCTAAACCTCCCGGCTTAAAGCAAAACATTGCCTGAAGTTTATCTTGTCTCATGTCTTTCCCAGACACCAAACTGCAGGGTATTATTGTGTCACCTTCTTTGCCCCTGCCTTAGTGATATAAAAAGGGGCTTCTCTTCTAAAATTAAATTGATTTATTTTAGTAACTTTTCTTGGAGATTTAAAGGTACCTCTAAGAGAAATGATGCCTTTAATGAACTTTTATTCGTTGCAGAAGCTTATCTGTCTTAAAATCTGTTGGTATTATTTTCAAGTTTGTGCACCCAGTTTGGCAGTTCCTTCAATAGGATTCTTTTATGTTTTTGAACTGAGTCCCTAATTAAAAAAAAAATTCTTTTGTGTGTATGTAGATTCTGGATGAAGTAGAGAAGAGAAGAGAAATGTCTCCAGCTTTGGTTTACCCATTTATGCGCAGTGTCATGGAAGCTCCTTTCCCAGCTCCTGGACGCACCATCACAGTAAAGAGCTACCTCCCTGGGGCTGGAGATGGGGTAAGTGAGTTCATTTTGAAAAGGTTTAATAGCTGCCAAAAAGCAGGCCTTACACTAGTAGGCCTTACCAGATAGAAACCTTACAGGATAGTTTTCTTTTTTTCATGAACTGCACAGAATATGTTTTGGTCACAAAAGCACTGGAGAAACATCCAGTTTATCTGTGAGATAGTTGATCCTAGACCCAGGAACCAGAGGTTTTCTATCATTTGTAGACTGAGCCCCTGCATAATGTCTATTTCAGTGTGATAAATGAAGATTATACATACTATTGTCCAGTGGGATAAAAGATTTCACCAGAAATTTACAGCCCAAAAATAAGGTATTAAGTCTTGGCATTAGTGTAGGCAGCTTCACAAACTCTTTGTAGCAGACCCTCTCTCTTGAATTTAACCTGTAAAAGAATGACAGGGGGCTTCCTTGGTGGCGCAGTGGTTGAAAGTCCACCTGCCGACGCAGGGGACATGGGTTTGTGCCCTGGTCCGGGAGGATCCCACATGCCGCGGAGCGGCTGGGCCGGTGAGCCATGGCCGCTGAGCCTGTGCGTCCGGAGCCCGTGCTCCGCAATGGGAGAGGCCACAGCAGTGAGAGGCCCACGTACCGCAAAAAAAAAAAAAGAATGACAGGATCCATTAGTATTGTCATTAGGGATTGTTTTCCCACCTCAGCTCCCCTGATTCAAATTTTGCATTTCAGTCAATTGAACTGTGCCGACCACTGGACTCACGATTGGAACATGTTGATTTTGAATGTCTCTTTAAGTGCCTGAGTGTGTGCCATCTCATTCGGGTCTGTGCCTCTCTCCTTTTGGAGCGGAGGATAATCTTTGTTGCCAACAGCCTAAGGTGAGAAATAAGTAAAATATGTCACTTCAGACTGTTGTTTTACTTGTTCTTACTATTTTAAAATTTGGGCATATTAGAAAACACTTAGATAGGATCTCAATTACCTAATGCTGTAGTAACATGGATAATCCAAAAGCTATTTGCATTCGGCTATAACAGTGACTTTTGGGGGTTGCAATTAATTTACCTTCAAAATGTGTTTTGTTTAAACTGTTGTTAAAAATTGGTATTGCTTTTCTAAGTACACACTAGCTTTTAGCAATATAAATTGTGGGAAACAGCTAGATTGAGATTAAAGATATTCAGTAAATTAAGTTAAAATTTAAATAAAATGTTAAAATTTAATGAGTAATCACAGAATTGTTAATCTATGATCACTAACTGGCATCACTTTGTAATTCTGTAACGTAATGTCTGAAATGCCCTCCATTGTTGTTCTTTATATGACACCATTTGCTTTCTCCTCTGGCTAGCACCCTGTCAAAATGTGGCCATGCTGTGGTTGCCACACTGTATCCATTCACCTGGCAGCATACCTACATCCCAGTCCTGCCAGCATCTATGATCGACATTGTGTGCTCACCTACTCCTTTCCTTATTGGAATCCTGTCTTGCTCCTTACCACAGCTCCAGGACCTACCCATTGAAGAGGTGAGATGGGAGAAATAGTACCTGTGGAAAAGACTGGGGCACTGGCAAATGAAAACAAGTGATCTTTAACAGTGGTGGATATGTCATTAATTAATAATAATATGTAATTATGATTGTTAATATATTATGCTATCATATTTTAGTATCTGTTTATGAAAGTGAGAAAAATTCTATAGTACACATGAATCTGAAGTTGTATCTTATTTGCAGTATTGAACCATGGGCTAATTCTTGTGTTATTCTGAATAGGTCTTTTTTTTAAAAAACATCTTTATTGGAGTATAATTGCTTTACAGTGGTGTGTTAGTTTCTGCTTTATAACAAACTGAATCAGCTATACATATACATATATCCCCATATCCCCTCCCTCTTGCATCTGCCTCCCACCCTCCCTATCCCACCCCTCTAGGTGGTCACAAAGCACCGAGCTGATCTCCCTGTGCTATGCGGCTGCTTCCCTCTGTCTATTTTACATTTGGTAGTGTATGTATGTCCATCATGCCACTCTCTCACTTTGTCCCAGCTTCCCCTTCCCCTTCACCATGTCCTCACGTCCATTCTCTACATCTTCATCTTTATTCCTCTCCTGCCCCTAGGTTCTTCATAGCCTTTTTTTTTTTTTTTTAGATTCCATATATATGTGTTAGCATATGGTATTTGTTTTTCTCTTTCTGACTTACTTCACTCTGTATGACAGAGTCTAGGTCCATCCACCTCACTACAAATAACTCAATTTCGTTTTTTTTTTAATGGCTGAGTAATATTCCATTGTATATATGTGTCACATCTTCTTTATCCATTCATCTGTGGGTGGACACTTAGGTTGCTTCCGTGTCCTGGCTATTGTAAATAGAGCTGCAGTGAACATTGTGGCACCTCTTTTTGAATTATGGTTTTCTCAGGGTATATGCCCGGTAGTGGGATTGCTGGGTCGTACGGGAGTTCTATTTTTAGTTTTTTAAGGAACCGCCATACTGTTCTCCATAGTGGCTGTATCAATTTACATTCCCACCAGCAGTGCAAGAGGGTTCCCTTTTCTCCACACCCTCTCCAGCATTTACTGTTTGTAGATTTTTTGATGGTGGCCATTCTGACTAGTGTGAGGTGATACCTCATTGTAGTTTTGATTTGCATTTCTCTAGTGATTAGTGATGTTGAGCATTCTTTCATGGGTTTGTTGGCAATCTGTATATCTTCTTTGGAGAAATGTCTGCCCATTTTTGGATTGGGTTGTTTGTTTTTTTGATATTGATCTGCATGAGCTGCTTGTAAATTTTGGAGATTAATCCTCTGTCAGTTGCTTCATTTGCAGATATTTTCTCCCATTCTGAGGGTTGCCTTTTCATCTTGTTTATGGTTTCCTTTGCTGTGCAAAAGCTTTTAAGTTTCATTAGGTCCCATTTGTTTATTCTTGTTTTTGTTTCCACTTCTCTAGGAGGTGGGTCAAAAAGGATCTTGCTGTGATTTATGTCATAGAGTGTTCTGCCTATGTTTTCCTCTAAGAGTTTGATAGTGTCTGGCCTTACATTTAGGTCTCTAATCCATTGAGTTTATTTTTGTGTATGGTGTTAGGGAATGTTCTTATTTCATTCTTTTACATGTAGCTCTCCAGTTTTCCCAGCACCACTTATTGAAGAGGCTAGCACCACTTATTGAAGAGGCTGTCTTTTCTCCATTGTATAGAAGAATAGGTCTTTTTAAAAAAATCATACATAGAAACTACTCTGGGTTAATTTAATAAATTGTTTCAGATATAAAACATGTATAGATAAATGCCCAAACAAAATGTATAGCTCAGTTAATGATCACATAGTGAATGCTTATGTAACCAACATTGGAATAGAATAGAAATATTATGACAATGGAAACAGAAGTCCCCATCATGCCTTTTTAATTTAATTTTTTTTATTATTATTATTTTTTAAATTTTTTGGCCATGCCGCGTGTCATGTGGGATCTTAGTTCCCCCACCAGGGATCAAACCCACACCTCCAGCATTAGAAGCGTGGAGTCTTAACCACTGGACTGCCAGGGAAGTCCCCCATCATGCTTTCTTCTAATCACTGTTCCCTTCCCCACCCCTTGCAAAAGGTAACCATTATCTTGACTTTCATGGTGCTCATTTTCTTGTTTTGTTTATAGTTTAACATCCTAGGCATGTATACCTAAACAATATAATTCAGTTTTGCCTGTTTTTACGTTTGAAATAAATGAACTCATACAGTATTTTTTTTTCTTTCTTTCTTTCTTTCTTTTCTTTTTTCAGTCTGGCTTCTTTGGAGCAACATTATGTCTTTTTTTTTTTGGCTGCGTTGGGTCTTCGTTGCTGCGTGTGGGCTTTCTCTAGTTGCTGCGAGCGGGGCTACTTTTTGTTGTGGTGTGTGGGCTTCTCATTGCGGTGGCTTCTCTTTTTGTGGAGCACGGGCTCTAGGCAAGTGGGCTTCAGTAGTTGTGGCTTGTGGACTTTAGAGCATAGGCTCAGTAGTTGCAGGACGTGGGCTTAGTTGCTCCGTGGAATGTGGGATCTTCCCTGACCAGGGCTCAAACCTGTGTCCCCTGCATTGACAGGCGGATTCTTAACCACTGCACCACCAGGGAAGTCCCCAACATTATGTCTTTAAGATTCATCCATGTTGATGGGTTTAACAACAGTAGTTTGATTTTTCTAATTGTGTATAGTATTCCATTGTGTGAATGTACCACAATTTTCTTATCCATTCTACAGTTGGTTGACATCTGAGTTGTTTCCAGTTTGGAGTTATTATTAATAATGCTGCTATGAATATTCTTGTTCATGACCCTTGGTACATATGTGCATGCAGTTTTATGGACGTATACTTGGAAACAGAATTGCTGGGTCATAGAGTAAACATACCTTCAACTTTAGTAGGTAAAGTCAAGCTTTTCCAAAGTAGCTGTGCCAGGTTAAACTTCCTCCAGCACTGTATGAGAGTTCCTGTTGCTCCACATCCTTGACAGCCCTTGTTGTCATCAGTTTGTGTAATTTAGCCTATCTGATGGGTATGTAGTTGTACTCATTGTGGTTTAATTGGCATTCCTTGATTATGGTTGAGGGTGAGCATCTTTCTATATGTTTATTGGCCATTTGAATGTCATCTTTTGTCATCTTTTGTAAAATTCATAGGCTATATCCTTATACTGAATTGTTTACCCTCACTGATTTGTAAGAAGCCTTTTTATAGCTTCTTTTATAGCTCTGGATATGAGCCCCTTTGTAGCTTGCCTTTTCATTCTCCAAAATGGTGTTTTTTAAATACAGAGATATTCTTAATTTTAATGTGGTCAGAATTATCAATTTTTTTTTATGGTTAGTGTTTGTGTGTGTGTGTGTGTGTGTGTGTGTGTGTGTGTGTGAACTGCTTAAGTTTTTCTTTATATTAACTTGATGGACATAGCCTCCTATATTATCTCTTGAAAGCTTTATTATTATGCCTTTAATTTTTGTTTCTGAAGTTGGGGTCTTGAATTTTTTTTTTATATAATAGGAGGTAGGGGGAATTCCCTGGCAGTCCAGTGGTTAGGACTCCCTGCTTTCACTGCTGTGGGCATGGGTTCAATCCCTGGTCAGGGAACTAAAATCCTGCAAGCCACACAGTGTGGCCAAAAAGGAAAAATGGAGGTAGGGGTCGTTTCATTTTTTTCATATGGATAGCCAACTATCCCAGTACCACTTATTGAAATAGCTCTTCTTCCCTATTACACTGATGGGTTAACCTTTTTTTCTCCCCAATTTTATTGAGATATGATTGACGTATAACATTGTATTCGTTTGAGATGTACAGCATAATGATATTATATGATATATGCATATATTTCAAAATGATTACACAGTAAGTTTAGTTAATATCCATCACCTCACGTAGTTAGAAAATTTTTTTTCTTGTTATGAGAACTTTTAAGATAGACTCTTAGCAACTTTCAAATATACAGTGTAGTATTATTAACTGTAGTCACCATGCTGTACATTACATATCCAGAACTTATTTATCTTATAACTGGAAATTTTTGCCTTTTGACCCCCTTCGCCCATTTCGTCCATCCCCCACCCCCACGTCTGGCAACCACCAATCTGTTCTCTGTATCTGTGAATTCAGTTGTTTTAGAGTCCACATGTAAGTGGTATCTGTCTTTCTCTGCCTGACTTATTTCACTTAGCATCCATGTTGTCACCAATGGCAGGATTTCCTTCTTTATATGGCTGAATAATATTCCATTGTGTGTTTGTGTGTGTGTGTGTGTGTGTGTGTGTGTGTGTGTGTGTATGTATACACACATACCACATCTTTATCTAGTCATCTGTTGATGGGCATTTAGGTTGTTTCCATTGTCATGTCTGTTGTAAGTAATGCTGCAGTGAACATGGGGGTGCAGCTGTTTCTTCAAAATAGTGATCTTATTTCCTTTGGTTACATGCCCAGAAGTGGGATTGCTGAATCATGTGCTGATTCTATTTTTAATTTTTTGACGAACCTCCTTACTGTTTCCATAGTGGCTGAACCAATTTACATTCCCATAAAGAGTGCACAATAGTTCCCTTTTCTCCACATTCTTGCCAGTATTTGTTATCTTTTGTCTTTTGTTGCTAGCCATTCTAACAGGTGATGATATCTCATTGTGGTTTTGATTTGCATTTCCCTGATGTGGAATACCTTTTCATGTGCTTGTTAGTCATTTGTATGTCTTCTTTGGAATAATGTCTATTCAGTTCCTCTGCCTATTTTTTAATTGGATTGTTTGGGGGTTTTTTGCTATTGAGTTGTATGAGTTCTTTATATATTTTGGGTAGTAACCCCTTATCCAATATTTGATTTGCAAATGTTTTCTACCATTCTTTACGTTTCCTTTATATTTTATTGATGGTTTCCTTTGCTGTGCAGAAGCTTTTTAGTTTGATGTAATCCCACTTGCTTACTTTTGCTTTTGTTGCCTTTGCTTTTGGTGTCAAATCCAAAAAATCATTGCCAAGACCAATGTAAAGATGCTACCCCCTGTGTTTTCTTCCAGGAGTTTTATGATTTCAGGTCTTATGTTTGAGTCATTAATCCATTTTGAGTTGATTTTTGTGTATGGTGTAAGATAGGGATCCAATTTTATTTTTTGGCATGCAGCTATCTAATTTTCCCAACACCATTTATTGAAGAGATTGTCCTTTCCCCATTTTATATTCTTGGCTCCTTTGTCATCAGTTAATTGACTGGGACTTCCCTGGTGGTCCAGTGGTGAAAACTGTGTGCTCCCAATGCAGAGGGCCCGGGTTCAACCCCTGTCAGGGAACTAGATCCCTCATGCCACCACTAAAGATCCCATGTGATGCAACTAAGACCCAGTGCAGCCTAATTAATTAATTAAAAAATTAATTAAAAAAAGTTAATTGACTATGTGTGAGGTTTATTTATGGACCCTCTCTTCTGTTCCATTGAGCCATGTGTCTGTTTTATGCCAGTACCATACTGTTTTGATTACTATAGCTTTGTAATATAGCTTGAAATCAGGAAGTATGATGGTCTCTACCTTTATTCTTCTTTCTCAAGATCATTTTGGCTATTTGGAGTCTTTTGTAGTTCCATGGAAATTTTACAATTGTTTGTTCTCTTTCTGTGAAAATTTCCATTGGAATTTTGATAGGGATTGCATTGACTCTGTAGATTGCTTTGGGTAATTTAGACATTTTAACAATATTAATTCTTCCAGTCCATGAGCATGGAATATCTTTCCATTTATTTGTGTATTGTTCAGTTTCTCTCATCAGTGTCTTATAGTTTTCAGCACAGATATCTTTTACCTCCTTGTTTAAATTTATTCCTAGGTATTTTATTCTTTGTGGTGCACTTGAAAATGGGGGTGTTTTCTTAATTTATTTTTCAGACACTTCATTGTTAGTGTATAGAAACACTTCTGATTTTTGTATTAACCTATGTTTTTAACTTGTTATAATGGAAAATTTTAAACATATGTAAAAGTAAACAAGAGAGTAAAATAAATCCAATCACTCTTCTTAAATACTTACAAAGTTTTGGCCAATCATACTTCTACCTCTCTCCCATAATATTTTGAAGTATATCCTAACATAATTTCATAATTCTAAATATTGCAATATGAATTTCTATAAGGTCATTTTTAACATAATCACAATACCATTATCACACCTAAAAAATTTAATAACAGTTCCTCAATATCAGAAAAATTCAGTATTCAGCTCTCTAATTATTTCATAAATTTTTAATAGTTTGAATTAAGTTCCAAATAAAGTCCATGCAGTGCATTTGGTTGGTGTGGGTTTTTTTAGTCTCTTTTAATCTCTAGGTGTGCTGCCATCATTTTTTTTTAACTTGAAATTCTTTTTACTTGTGTTGATGAGTTAACTTTTATTTTTTTATTTTTATTTTTATTTTTTGTGGTACACGGGCCTCTCACTGCTGTGGCCTCTCCCATTGCAGAGCACAGGCTCCGGACGTGCAGGCTCAGCGGCCATGGCTCACGGGCCCAGCCGCTCTGCGGCACGTGGGATCCTCCCGGACCGGGGCACGAACCCGTGTCCCCTTCATCAGCAGGTGGACTCTCAACCACTGTGCCACCAGGGAAGCCCATGAGTTAACTTTTAAATGGGCTGAAACTTTAAGTTAGTGTATAATAATATTGAATCACTTTATACACCTGAAACTAATATAATATTTAAGTCAATTATACTTCAATTTTTAAAAAAAGAAAGAAAACAAAGCAAACAAATAAACCTTTAAGTTTATTTAAAACTATTCCCATTTGCATGAAAGAATCAAAACACTCTTCCTGATCTAGCAGTGTCTAATGTATTTCTCTGTGAATGTCTCTGGTTTAACTTGTCTGGCTCCTTTATTCCATAGGTGCTGATAGTTGATCTCTGTGCAGACAAGTTCTTACAGGAGGTGAGTGACAAAGGAGGTGATTATGTAATGTTTGGGTATAATTGGCCAGAAAATATGTGAAAGTACTTAGAGAAGGTGACTCAGGCAAGACTTATAGTTCCTACACATACTTGACGAGACACTGCGGCCACTCATACAAGATTGACCTGAAAAATTTGATTTGGGTTCATAGCTGACTGTCCCAATTTAGGGAAGGAGGAAACAGATTAAATGCCATTCTCAAAAGAGGTAACCCTCCCTTCAAGTCTTATGGGTTGATGTATAGGTCTCTAATTTAATTAAATTTAACAAGCATTCAGCACCAATTATTTCTAGATATTGTGTTAGCCAGTCAGAAACTAAAGATGAGTAAGATACTCAGTTTTATCTCTCAGGCCTTATAGTTTAAAGGGGAGGGGAGAGGGAGCAGACATAGCCATAAAGTTTTAGAAATGGTGTAATAGAAACTTATACAAGGTACAGTAGGGGCAGAAAGGAAGTGTCACTTATTCTGGATAGTGAAGTGGAGAGGAGAGTTAGTAAAACCTTAGAGCAGCCCTCTGTATGTAACCTGTATATAGTTTTGTGAGCACTGAGCGCAGGGTGAAAAGAATGTTTCCCAAGACTGTCTTTTTTCAGAATCAGTCAGCTCGTCACATGTGAAGCACCATTTATTTGGGGATGATCTTTGTAATATAGCATAAGACTTGGAGATGAGAAACATTTTGTGGGAAAGTGCCAGAAAATTTTATAAGGCATATTATTTATTTTTCTTAAATGTAATGAAGATGTATGCACCGTAAGTTTTGTGGATTCTGCTCAATGTAGGGAAGGAAGCTTGAGACTGACTCTTCATCCAAAATATATACAAAGCCACCTGTGGAACTTGAGGGACTTAAATAGGGCATGTTTGAGACTTTCTCTCTCAAAGCTCATGAAAATCTCAATTTCTTCTCTTAAGGTATCTGATGAGGATGAAATTCTACCACCTAAACTCCAAGCTGCCCTGATACAAATTTTGGAAGAACGAAATGAAATTTTGGCTCAGGAGCAGAATTTTTTACAAGGTATGAGACAAGTGGTCTGAGGATTTAAGGTCAAGGCAGTAAATAACAAATGCCCAACACCCTGCCAAAGCATATGCAATAGTAGTATGAGATTGCCTGTGCCTTCATAAGCTTATAGTCAGCTTTCTTGCTCACCCGCAGATGTGCCAAGCCCCCTTCTATTTCAGGACTTTTGCACTTGCTCAGTTCCATGTATGGAATGCTATTCCCCTAGATATCCACATGGCTCCTGCTCTTCGTTCTTGCAGGCCCATGCTCAAATGTCACTTTCTTAGTGAGGCCTTTTCTGACTGTCCTGTTTAAAATTGTTCCTGTTCCCTTAGCACGTCCTATCCTCCTCCCTGACCTTATTTTTCTCCATGGCTTTCATCGCCATCTGATGTGCTAAGATGTAAGTTCCATGAGAGCAGTGACCGTCTATTTGTTTTCTATTTCCAGTACTTTAAACAGCATTCAGTAAATAGGTATTCAATAAGTATTTGTTGAATAAAAGGGTGAATAATATTTTATGGGTGGCTTACTCTGTGCCAGGCATTGTTTTAAGCACTTAGCGTACATCTTATTTCATCCTTGTAATATCTTTATGAAGCAGGTGTTATGATTTAATCCCCATTCTACAGATGAGAACACTAAGGCTGTTTACCAATGGGGAACATTAGAGAAGGGGCAGGTTTGGAGGAGTAACTAAGAGTTCAGTTTTTAATATTAAGTTTGAGATACCTATTAGACATCCAACACCTGGCAGACTTTCAGCTGGAGATATCAAGTAGGCATTTATATACGTGAATTTGAGATTCAGAGGAAAGATTTGGACTAGAGACATACATTTAAAAGTTGCTATTTTAAAGCTGTGGGAACAGATGAAATAGCCCAATAGAGTAAGTATAGAGAGAAAATTTAAAAGATTTAAGGATTGAGCCCTGGTTGGGAATGATGTGCTTAGATTTCCAACTTTTGGTAGTTGGGAAGAGGAGAAGGATCCAGCAAAGGAGACTAAAAGGAGCAGCTAGTGAAGTAGGTGAAAAACCAGGAGTATGTGATATTGTAGAAACTGAGTGAAGAAAGTATTCCATGAAGGAAAGAGTAAGCAGTTATGTTTTTTTTGTTTTTATTTTTGTTTTAATTTTTGTTGGAGTATAGTTGCTTTACAATATTGTGTTAGTTTGTACAGTACAGCAAAGTGAATCAGGTATATGTATACATACAGCCCCTCTTTTTTGAATTTCCTTCTCATTTATGTCACCACAGAGCACTGAGTAGTTTGCTGTGCTGTACAGTAGGTTCTCATCAGTTATCTGTTTTATACATGGTATCAATAGTGTATATATGTCAACCCCAATCTCCCTAACCTTAAAAGAAATAAAAAACAAGCTATAAACTAGATGAAGGCATTTTCAACAAATATAACTATAACAAAGGAATAGTATCTAGAATTTATTTTTTGAAATTCCTACAATTTAAAAGTAAAAAGATGAACAACCCAAGAAGAAAATGGGGGAAAGATATGAACAGTCATTTCATAGAGGAGGAAACATGAAAGGCCAATAAATATATGAAAAGGTACACAACCCCATCAAAATCAGGGAAATGTAAATTAAAACCACAGTGTGATACCATTTTATACCCACCATATTGGCAAAAATTTAAAAGTCTGACAGTATCAGGTGTTGATGAGAATGTGTAAATTACTTCAACCCCTTTGGAAAAACAATTTGGCATCATCTAATAACATTAAAGGTGTACATATCTTGCAACCCAACAATTCCATTTTAGAGATATACACAGAGAAACTCTTGCACATGATAACTAGGAAACAGTAATTTTTATAGTGTTATTGTATGTGATAGCAAAAGCTGAAACAACCTAAATGTCCACTGACGGGAGAATATAGCATTTAAAAAAAAGAAGCTTAAAAACACACATTTCGAAGATCCGGCGTGCGACAACCAACACAGCCAAATAAATAAATAAATAAATACTTTTTAAAAAACATGTTGAATTAAACTGTAAGTTGCAGAAGAATATAATGTTTTATATAATGTTCAAAGATATACAAAACCTAACAATATGTTGTTGGTGTTGGATGTGTATAGTAAAACTGTAATGTAAAGCAAATGATACACACAAAATTACAGAAAATGGTCACCATCTATTGCAAAGTAGGGGAAGAACACCACTGAGAGAGCATAACACAGGGAACTTCAGAGATACACGTGATGTTCTATTCTAAGCTTTGTGGTGGGCACTTGTGTGGTCATCTCACTCCTGATCTTATGAAATATTCATACATGTTACAAGAATCTATAAAGTTATTCATTAAAACAGAAACAAAGAATGGAAGAAGATAAGTTATAGAAAAACATAATTTTTTAAAGAAAGGGAATTAGGTGTAAGAAAGGAGGTACAACAGGTATAAACAACTCTTCCAAGAAATTTTTTGCTGCGAACTGGAGGAGAGATGGGACAGTAACTGGAGGCGATGGGAGAGTGGGGCAAAAGCATTAATGATAAAGCAGTGATGGATTCTCAGCTGCAGAAAGAAAGAGATGAGAAGGAAGTCTGTTGAACAAAGTATAACAAACATCTAGATTAGAATAAAAATGTAGGGACTTCCCTGGTGGTCCAGTGGTTAAGATTCTGCTTTCCAATGCAGGGGACATGGGTTCGATCCCTGATTGGGGAACTAAAATCCCACATGCTATGGGGCAACTAAGCCCACATGCCAGAACTAGAGAAAAGCCCATGCGCTGCAGCTAAGACCTGATGCAGCCAAATAATAAAAATGAAATTTAAAAAAAAAAGAATAAAAATGTAATGTCGGAAGAGAGCTCAGAAATTGCCTAATCAGCCACCTCATTATACAGATATGGAAAGAGAGGCCATGAGAGGTAAAGCAAGTTGCCCACTATTACACAGCTGCTTCATGGTAGAAGTCTGATTAAACCTGGGTCCCAGATTCCCAGTCAGCCCATGGGAAAGAGCAAGAGACATTGTGAGGAAAAGAATACTATTTTGATATGGGAGGAAAAGGAGGAGTCTAAGTTGAACCTGAGGTTTGAGCCTGGAAGGCAACACATTGTGCTATATTATAGTGGTTAAGAATCACTTGACTTGGGAGTCCTGCAGCTTCTCCATGGTACTGGATGAGGTGACCCTGGAGAATGTCTTTGATTTGAGCCTCAGTTTCCTCAGCTGTAAAAGGGAAATAATAGACTTACCTCACTGGATTATTTTAAAATTTGTAAAAGCACTCAATACATTATTATTTATTATGGAGTAATCATGATGCAATATGAAATGAGAAAGTTGAGAGAGAAACTGATTTGGTGGAGAAATATAATGAATTTGGTTTTTGGCATGTATTGTTTATTTGATTTGTAGTCTCCCAATTTCCCAAAAGGACCTGAGATGGTGACTGTTTTTTTTTTTTTTTTTGGCTGTACTGGGCAGCTTGCAACATCTTAGTTCCCTGACCAGGGATCAAACCCATCCCTTCAGCAGTGAGAGCACAGAGTACTAACCACTGGGCCTCCAGGGAATTCCCTAGACGGTGACTTTTAGACAAATGGAATGTAAGTGCTAATGGGACAGCCAAATGATGATCAGCTATAGGTAGCCTGAAAATGTAGAAAGTGAATTTTGGTGAAATATCAGGACTGGAGATCTGAGGTTGAGAATTATTGACAAAGAAAGCCAGCTCTCTCTGGATACACCAGTTAGCTCTTTAAGGAAAGGAATGTTGAAGAGAAGGGGTCCAAAGACCATGCCTAGGAAGAAGAAGAAGAGGCAAGAGCAAAACAAATGTTTGGTCCTAAAGGCAGGAGAGGAATCAGGAAATCAGGAGAGCATAAAGTTGTGGGAGACAAGAGGAATGAGGAGGAGGTCAGCACAAATGCTGACCTCCTTTTAAAGGAGGATAAAAATAGAAAAGGAGATTAAATTTGGCTGGTTCTCACTGGTGGCCTTTGAAAGAGCTATTACAGTGAAATCACAGATGTGCAGACCACAGTATGCGTGGGAAGAACATGAAGGTAAGGATATAAGCCATTTGCTTTTTTTCAGGTCATGAAGAGTACAAGAAAGCTAAGAATGAGGATTCCTACATTTATTCTCTGTCCTTTAATCTATGATCCCCTAGGTGTCACTTTTATAACTGGAGCCAGTGTCCCTATAAACACAAAACTTAGGGGATTTTTCCCCCCTTCTTTCTTTTTTCGTTCATTTTGCAGAAGATGTGACACTCAACTCTCTGGTGTCCGAAGCATTTGTCAGGTTTTTTGTTGAACTGGTGGGACATTATTCTTTGAGCATGACTGTCACTGAGCATGGGGAGCGTGTATTCCAAAGGGAGCCATTCCGTAAATCCCACACTTCCCGAAGTGTACGCCACTTCCTGGATCTCTTCATGGAAACTCAGATGTTTGCAGGATTCATCCAGGACCGAGAGCTTCGGAAAAGTGGGGTGAAAGGTCAGTTTCATCATAAAGTTCTCCCTCTGTATTTAGTGAGTACTTAAAAGATTTGAAAATAATATAAACAAAAAATAGCATAAAGCTACAAGGGCTCACTATGAGTTGTTTATTATGGGAAACATTTATTTTGTGATATTGTTTTAGCTACGGAAGTACATTGGTAGTGAGTACAGAGTTTTATTCAATTGGTTTTCAGTCTTGAATGTATGGCAGTTTCATCAACATGAGTTTTTCTTGTAGGTTTGTTTGAGGTCCGGGCCCTCCAGTATTTGGAAACAATTCCTGAGTCTGAGCCCAGTGGAGTGAATAGAATTTTGCGGAGTCTTGGTAAGTTGCTATGTTTTCCTGTTAGATAAACATAGTTAAAAAAAAAAAAAACAACTTTTGCAGTAAGCATGCCTCATCACAAAAGCTTTATCATCACATCAATATAACCTCAAGGAGGGTGACCAGAAACCATGACCCTATTTCCAGAGTGTTTTGGAGAAAGACAAAACTCTTTTCTCAGAGGTTAGGATTCTCCATCAGAGTCGTCCATGGGGCTGTTTTTCTCAGATGAAGCTCCCTCATGATATAAGAATTTTGCATATCATGATTATTCATCTTTTGTAGGCCACATCCCTGGAAGAATCTTATTAAAATCTGCACCTTTTCCCAGAAAAATATACTTGGAGCATACAAACAAATTATGCATGTAATTTTAGGGTGTTAATGGACCCCCTTGAAGCCCATCCATATGCTCCAGGTTAAAAATACCTGGTTCAGAGGGCATCTGAGGCAAAAGAGGATTTCATGCAAGTCTCTAATTTTACTCTTCATAAGGAAACACAGTTGTTTATGATTTTTCAATTATAGTTAACTTTTAATTATCCAGTATGATGTAGGAGAACAGTGGTGTGGTAGCCCCAAACAATGAAGAACCTGTATTCTATGGTATTATATTGATCTTTGAAATATATGCCCCCCTAATTAAAATTAGCCCCTAACTAGCTGAGAGACCATGGACAAATTATGCCTAGGGCTATTATTTCATCTTTATACCATGGTGTTAGACTAGATCAGTGGTTCTCAGCTCTGATTACAATATTATAATCTCTGGGGAATTTAAGTGAAAATCCAGGGAATTTCCTGGCCGTCCAGTGGTTAGGACCTCACGCTTCCAATGCAGGGGCATGGGTTCGATCCCTGGTCAGGGAACTAAGGTCCTGCAAGCTGTGTGGTGTGGCAAGAAAAAGAAAAAAAAACAAAAAGAAAATCCACCCTGCACCCCACACCAGGCTCCACGAAATCTCTGGGGAACAGGACAGCTGATTTTAACCTACAGTCAGGTTTGAAAACCATGGGATTAGATGATGTCTCAGTTCTCTTCTACCTCTACAATTAGAAATGTGGGGATTTTGTGTGTGTGTGTGTTTGGTTTGGTTTGGGTTGGGTTTTTTTTGGTGGTTAAACACATCAACTGATAGCTTGAGATGGCAGCTTACTTCTGGGCTGTTCTGAATGACTAGGTTTAATCCCTTGCCTCAAATAATGTATAATAAATAAAAATGAACTAATGAGAGTTCACTCTACTTTTTTTCCTTTAGGAAGTAAAATGAAATTTCTTCAGAAGAAATGAAATCTTTGATTGACAGCCTCCATCCTAAATAGAAGAGAAAGTGACAAAGAAACTATTTTTCGAAGAGTCAAGATGCCCTGAAGTATTCTACAAAGTCTTGAAAGTTGAAAGTTTACAGAGTGGGCCAGGTTCTCGGAGGAGGATTCTCCTGTTGCTGCTGTAGTAATCACTGGAGAATTGTTGGGAGTAGTCTGGAACCAATGCTCCCTTTACTCTGCCTCCAGATTTTTTTTAAGTGGCCTTTCTTTTTGATTCCTGAGCTCATTCTTTGTGTTTTGAGCTTAGTCTATGAAGGCACTTGTCTTTTACAAGAAAGAGGTGGTGTTGCATTTTAAAAACAGCTCAAAGATGAGCACAATGAGAAAAGTGCTGCATTTAAGGTACTACCGAGGCATGATAGAAGTAGAGGACTAGCCCTTCACACATAATTCTCATCACTGAAATACCGTGGCAGCTTTAAACCTATGGGCTGTTTGAGCTGAGCTAAGGACTATACTCATCTTTTTTTTTTTTTTTTTTTTGGTCTAATGCTCTGTCTAGGGGAATCTCACTTACGCGGAAGCCCTATGTATTATCACTGTTATTGAGTATCTTATAAAAATAGACATTTTATAGCTCCTCCTCCCCATTGTGTGGCACTTGGGTAGCTTGTCCCACGCATGTCAACATTAAACTTTGGGGAATTATAGCTAATGGGGGACTTCCCTGGCAGTCCAGTGGTTAAGACTGCATGCTTCCACTGCAGGGGGCACGGGTTTGATCCCTGATCCGAGAACTAAGATCCCCCATGCAGATTCCACATGCCGCATGGCATGGCCAAAAACAAGAAAAGAAAAAAATATATACCTAACAGGAAAATGTCCTTTAAGGGCATGAGAACTACCTTCTTTTTTAGTGTCCACCATGTGCCATGAATGGTACATGTATGTATGTCATCTTGTTTAGTCTTTAAATCAACTTTATGAGATATTTGCATCTGCATTTTACTAATGAGGAAAATGGAATTCAGAGTTTAAATAACTTTAAACTGAAGCCAGGACTATTAGGTTATGAACACATAGAAAGTTGGTTATTCCTACAGATGGAAATTTGAACTCTGTGTGACTATAGTTATTGAAAAAGCTTTTTGTTTTTGTTTTTTAAGCTGAAGTGTACCAGAGTCAACTTGCAGCTCTGAGAATAAGGAACTTCAAACTATAGGTGTCTAGATGAGACTTTTTTTGGTTCCTCTAGAAATGTTGGACTTTTTGCTCTAGTTAAATTGGACTCAGAATATGGACATTTCCTGGGCACACACCACATAATCACTCCAACCCTTAATATCTAAAGTAGTAGTAGTGGTATGAAAGAGGAATTTGTCAGCATTGGTGTAACGCTAATTGATAAATGTTACAGCAAGTGTCAGTTTGTTTTCTTCAACTCCTGCTGATGGCTTTAACTGGCATAAAAAATATTTATTCAAACTTAAAGCATTATAAGTTGTGTTATGATACAACTTATTAACTTGTGCAGTATTGTCATTACAACCCATTCAGGTGTGCATGAATGGATCTGAAGCAGACACCATTTAAGATGGGTGCTATATAATTCAATTCCTATAGATGTGGGCCCAGAAAATAGAACTAAGCCTATGTTTAAAGAAAAAAAAAAAGTTTATTAAGCAGCTTACCTCAGTGGGGCTTTTACCAGACATTTCCCCATTTGGTCTCCTCTGACACTCCCACCCTGAGGGAACAATTAGTAACTGGGAATTGAGTGTTTATAAAATGGGGGTATAAGGTATTGCTGTGGTGGATCCCAGACATCCCTCTGTGAGGAGACCTTTTCTTCAGGAATGGGAGTCTTATCCCTGCTATCTGAAGCTGCTTCCTTTTCTTCAGTCTGTTTTAATTTTTGTTTGTAAAGTATTACAAATTCTGGACACATTTGTAAAATAATCGCTGAAATTTTGTATAAAACGTTTACAGATCTTTTAATGAATAAACAAACACAAAAAATTCAATGGATCTCCTGGAGAATTTGAACTAAAATTGTTTAAGCTGTAAAGATATTTTACTTCACTTAAATCTATAGCTAACACATTTATCTAATGGTAGGTAAAAGATAATCGATCCAAGACTAACCAAGCTTAATTACAGTGGCCAATATTTCCAGGCTCTTGGCAAAGTCGGGGTCTAGATTTGCACACCGGGCACGGTATATAGTCCGACTACCTTATTTGGTCTTTCCCTGCTTAGTCAAAGGGAACTGGAAGCCAGGGACCAGAGACTGGGCACCAGCAGTAGCAGGAGTGGTCGGAGGCAATGAGAAACTAGTCTATTACCAGAAGTTCTAAAGGCAAAATGATTGGATTTTATACACACCCTGAATGCGAAATCACAGTCTTCTTAAAAGATGGGATTAGCGGGCAGTTATCTCGCCCTGGGGGCGAGATCAGGTTCGTTTTGTTACGCAGTCTAAAGCTTCGCAATTTTAATTGGAGACTAGCGCCCACTTCCAGAATCTGTGAAAGAACTGCACTTAGTGCAAAGACCCTCGGGGCGCCGAGAACGAAGAATGATGGGGATACAGCAAAGAAGTGCAAAGGGAGAGAAGTTTAACGGAAGAAGGTGGAAGGTTAGGAGAGTAAAGCCGAGGTGGGAAACCAGTATCTTTCTCCCCGCCAAATCCTGCAGCCAGTTCCCTCCAAAAGTTTTAAAGGATTCCCCAACCAAATATCAGCGTCCTGGAGGAAACAAAAAGTCCCAACTCCTCTCCGCTTTGCTGCCAGTCGGAGGCAAAACGGTAGAGCACGCGGGGACAGGAAGTTGAGATGTACCGCTGACTAGGGGAAACCACGACGTGACGTCAATTCCGACCAAAACAAAATGGCCGGGCAATTTCTAGCGAGCGCGCCCTCAAGAATTAACTTAGCAGGCGCCAAAGCTGATGCGCAGGCGACGTCATTACGTTAGCGTAGGGCGCAGAAGTATTTAAGTGAACCTGAGCCAGCGCAGAGTCGGAAACAAGTGAGGAAAAATATTTCTTCACTGCATTGTTGAAAATTGGTCATGAAAAACAAAATGGCCGGGCAATTTCTAGCGAGCGCGCCCTCAAGAATTAACTTAGCAGGCGCCAAAGCTGATGCGCAGGCGACGTCATTACGTTAGCGTAGGGCGCAGAAGTATTTAAGTGAACCTGAGCCAGCGCAGAGTCGGAAAACTTCGGCGAACCTAACAATGGCGGGGACGGGTTTGGTGGCCGGAGAGGTTGTGGTGGATGCGCTGCCGTATTTTGACCAAGGTTATGAAGCGCCTGGTGTGCGGGAAGCGGTAAGTTCGGGGTGTCTGTGTAACTGACTCAGCGCTCACTGGCCCTTAGTGCTGGAAGAATCGCTTAACAATTTGCTGCCTCTACCCTGGCCTCTGTTCTCGTTCTTAGGCTGCGGCATTGGTGGAGGAGGAAACACGCAGATACCGACCTACCAAGAACTACCTGAGCTACCTGACAGCCCCGGATTATTCCGCTTTTGAAGTAAGTGTGATGTTTTGAGCCTAGCGTATGAACCAGGATCCTGTGAATCCTTATTTTGGATCGAGAGGCTTCGCCACGTAGAAGTGAATTTTGAATTCCAGCTTTAACTGTTACTTGCTTAGCTACTACTTACCCTGTTGTATAGGTATTGTCAGTCAGTTGAAAACAGCTACACAGATAAGCCTTCCCCGGGGTTCTTATTCTGAGAACCACGGAAGGACTTTCTGGGGCTCCGCGAACTGACCTAACAATGCAAAATTTAATGTACATTTTTCCGAGATAGGTTTATTGCGTAAATTCTCAAAGGGATCCTCTTCTCTCTAATTAAGGACTACTGTAAAACAAGTGATCTAGGGTTTTTTAATATATTTACAAAAGCCTAATTACCTAAGCCTCTGAGAACCACTGGAGGGCGGCCTTTGTATCAAAAGTCTTAAAATATTTACTGGGTGGACGTGAATGACTGTAGAGATAAATCATATCTAAGTGAACCATATCAAACCATTTAGATATTTAGCCTAGAAGTGCACCCAAAATACTATTTAGGGTCTAATTAGCTGAATGAAATGTAAAATATCATTTCTAAGTTAATGGATTCAGTTAGGCATTTTAGTACATACATGTTCCGTTTTTCCCCCCATTACAGTTAACCATTTATTTATGAAAGAATTCTGTTATTAAAACGCAGGATTTCCTATTGAAGTAACATGAAAAAAAATATTGGTTAAGTTTTAAGTAGGAGAGAGATGTTCCTGTGGCACGCTGTTTTCCCATGCTTTTTGTAAATGATGTTGCCCAAATATAGATGTTATCACATTAAGAACTAAGTACAGTAATGGGTACTTATTAGCTTGATTTCTGAAAGTTTTAGATAACTGCATTCAGTCACAAACTTTTAAATACTTGAGCCAGTTTTCTTTTTACCTCTTTTAGATACAACCTGTGTTTCCTGTCTTTATAATTAGTATAGTGATTAGTTAACGCTTTCTAATAGTAGAAGCTAATAGTGTACTGGGTTCACTGTCTCAGTCCTAAAAACAGCTCTGTGAACTATGTAACTGTATGTTTATTATCCCAGTCTTTTAGATGGGAAAACTGCAGCTTAGGCTAACTAATTTGCCCAAGACCTTAAGCACTCCTCAAACTGCCTTTGAACTGCTCTTTCATTAATTCATTTAACAACTATTTCTGAAAATCGATTCTGTTCGAGTTATTGGGGAACAGGAGTTTAAATTCTAGAGTGTGGAGACAGATAAATCAGAAAATATCAGATTATTGATAAAGCTATACAGAGAATTAAAGTAATGATGTGATATAGAGTGACTGGGTGACTGCTTTAGATAGGATGGCTGAGGAAGGCCTGTCTAAGCTGAGAATGAGAATGCTCTATGAGCAGGGATCTTTTTTGTCTTCTTCATCACTGTATTTTCATCACCTAAAACAGTGTTTGGCACACAATAGGAACGCAGATATTTATCACTGAATGTATGAAGAGTGCCTAAGGCAGTTTAATGAATGCTTAATGTGTGCAATTAATGCCTGGAGTTCTTCTTGTGACTTAGCCCTGTGAGCATTGGCTCATTCTTTGAAGAGAGTTGAGTTAAAATTCCAGATCTGTCACTTACTAGCCATGTGATGTTACGTGGCTGAAGATTGGCATGTACTATATTTTTGTAGTTTCTGTCTTAGCTAATTGTTAGTTTTTACTCTGTCACTGTGCATAGCCTTCTAACTAGAATGCCTTAGTTTCTGCAGGAAACTAAGTAACCACATTTTCTTAGAGTTGTGTGAAACTCAGCAATAGTCCAAAAAAAGTCTTTCTCCATGGAAGACATGCTTAATGCACAATTTTTAAGCAAGGAATGTGACCTCTGGAAGGTCTTTTTTGTCTACTCTTTAGTCTAAATGGAATAGGATGTTGACCAAAACACTGGACTTAAAGAGGTAGAGCTATACCACATTTTTTAAAAAATAATAAAATTGTTAGAGCAAACAACAGAACCAGGTCCTTTTGTCCCTTCCCCTGTTACTCTTTTGCAAAGAGTAAAGTGAAAAGAGCAGCCAGGATCAAACAGAAAGTATAGGTTTAGGCTCATAGTGCTAAAGCAAATTATTTTATGTCCCAAGTCCTCTTCTCTCTTCCCATGCCCACAGTGAATACTTAGATCCATAGTTCTCAACACTGGCTTGACTTTACAATCAACTGGTGAGTTAAAAGCAAAAGTTATAATCACGTCCTGTAGTGGGGGAGAGGAGTGATAATGTGAATTGTATTGGAATTGTTTTCGAAACTCCCATTTGATTCTAAATGTGTGCTGGACTGAGAACCACTGATTTAGGATTAAT